GTGGCTCCGGAGGGTTGAAAAGTAGGCTCGCTAAAGCGGCGGGTGCGGAGACATCTGGGGAGATGAGAGATGAAAAGTTGCACGCCGTTAGCCGATTTCGAAGTGAAAAGGTACAAAACACCTCAGCGCCGGACCGCTTTTGGAAGTTGAGATGTTGTTGAGATGTTGAAAAAGTGCACGCCGTTGTGGCGCGAAGCACATTTGGAAGTAAAAAGTGTTAAAAACTGAGGGGTTCGGAGCAGTTTTGGAAGTTGAGATGTTGAAAAAGTGCACGCCGTTGTGGCGCGAAGCACATTTGGAAGTAAAAAGTGTTAAAAACTGGCGGTCTCGGAGCACTTTTGGAAGTTCTGATGTCGAAAAAGTGCACGCCGTTGTGGCGCGAAGCACATTTCCAAGTCAAAATGTACAGAACACTAGGGGTTCGGACCACTTTTGGAGGTTCTGATGTGGAAAAAGTGCACGCCGTTGTGGCGCGAAGCACATTTCGAAGTCAAAATGTTCAAAACACTAGGGGGTTTGGACCACTTTTGGAGGCTCAGATGTCGCTTGCTTCGCTTCACTACACTACACTACACTACACTCCACTACACTACATTACACTACACTACACTCCACAACACTACAACTACAACTACACAACTACACAACTACACTCCACTACACTCCACTACACTCCACTACTGTACACTAAACTACACTACACTACATTACACTACACTACACTCCACTACACTACATTCCACTACACTACGTTCCACTACACTACAACTACAACTACAACTACAACTACACACCTACACTCCACTACGCTCCACTACACTCCACTACACTCCACAACACTCCACTACACTAAATTACACTACACTACACTACATTACACTACACTACACTCCACTACACTACATTACACTACACTCCACAACACTACAACTACAACTACACCCCACAGATAGATAGATAGATGGATAGATAGATAGATAGATAATTAGATGAAAGAGAGAGAGAGAGAGATAGATCGATAGATAGATACATAGAAGATAGTTGGATAGGTAGGTAGATAGTGAGAGAAAGAGCGAGAAAGAGTGGGAGACCTCAAGCACCTTTCGGTCCATCAGTGGATTCGCTCTGCCATCCCTGAGTGACAACAACCAACCTCTCCTATAGGTTTCCTATTTTTGAAACTTCCGCCACCGCCTTGTGCGGTACTACTGGTATAATCAATAGATAGATAGATAGATAGATAGATAGATTAGACTAGATTAGATTAGATTAGATTAGGTTAGGTTAGGTTAGGTTAGATTAGATTTAGATAGATAGATTAGATTTAAATTAAGATTTAGATTAAGATTAAGACTAAGATTTAGATTTAGATTTAGATTAGATTATATAGATTACATAGATAGATAGATTGGTTGATCGATAGGATTGGATTGGATTGGATTGGGTTGCATTAGATTGGATTGGGTTAGATGTAGATTAGATTTAGATTAGATTTCACTAGATTTAGATTAGATAGAAAGATAGACAGATCGATAGATCGATAGGTTGACAGATGGATGGATTGGATTGGGTTGGGCTGGCTTGGATTCCATTAGATTAGATAGATAGATAGATAGATAAATGTAATTATATATATAATATACGTACATACATACAACGACCGCCACAAAAAGGATAGAAACAGTAAGATCCTGGCATTTCCATGTCAAGTGTGGTTCCAAAACCATCCAAAACCATTGAAACTTCCGGGTCCAGGCTCCGTGTTGAAGGTGGTGATGTTATACATCACGAAGCCCGCCGCCAGGGTCCCCACCGTTCCCAAGGAATCCAAGGCCACCGCCAGATCGCCTCGGTCTTCGTCGTCCTCGCCGTTGGAATGGCTGGCGGCACAACGGCTCCAGCAAAGGAAGAAGGCAATGACAAGGATACTGGCGAAGCAACCTGATTTCGCAAGTGTGGAGCCAATTAAATTATACTGTACCATATGTTAAATATATATATATATATAATATGTGTGTGTGAATATGTGTTTATATGATCAGTATCATATTCCATTATTTCAAGATATGCTTGTAATACTTGTTCAACATTTTGCAACCATGAAGTATAAGTGTCCGAGATGCGATTACAACAATAAGATATACGGAGATCAAATGAGATAAGCATAGACTTGTCCCCCCGCCAAAAAAAAAATTGCAAATAGACAATGAATAGAACACAATAGAACATGAAAGGAAAAGCAGAACCAAAGCTGTGGCGGCAACAAGTCATGGGCACATATGCCACCCGCGTGTAGCAGGCTCCATCCGGCACCAGCGACGCAGCGCAGGGTCCAACGGCGGTGCCATAGTCAGCACCAGCGCCGCAGGGGCAGGAGCAGCCCCAGCCCGTTAGGCTGGCGCCAGACAAGACCACGAAGACACCGAGTTTGAAGAGGAAATCACCTGAAACAATGACCCGTTGGAATAGGCCATGCTCATCATTCATAATTATATAAACCTGTTACATATATATATAATATTTATCTATTTATTTATATATTCTATTTGTGTTACGGTTATTATTAATTATATATAGTATGATTAAGTGTGTTCATTCATTCCCTTGTAATATTAATTATATAACAGTATACCGTTATTTACTATTATTATGAAAGTGGCCTATGGTGGGCTGAACAGAAAAACCAAGTGACTGATTCGGAACAACGCGAAAAGGCAGCGCGTGGTCGATCTGGACACAGGGCCTGTTCGGAGTTGAGTGGTGCTCATAAAGGTGATATAGACCACTGCTTGCAAGCACACGCAGCCCAAAGAAACCTGGCCGTTGTTTTTTGCAGCTCGAAACAGAGAACGACCCAAGCACTTGAGGACCTTTTAATAATCAGCAAACCCATGCTGAAATCGCTTCCATCTTCTGATATCTACATATACATAATATGATATTGTCTATATATATATATAATATCATCCCACCTCCACCCCATTTATTGGTTGGCCTCACATCCGGATATATCGGTGTTACTAATGGTGTTCACAAATCCAAGACCCAGAAACCATCAGGGGAAACACATGGTTCAGGTAAAGCTCGTATTCGTGTCCATCGGGAGCGTGCTGCAACCCGATGAAGCGAGCGCTAGCATGCTGGATGAAACCAACCATCAGTACGGCCCGATTTCCTGACCAAACCCTGGTGAGAACAACTAACAAGGTGCCACGTATGCAAAAGGAGCCTCCGTAACCATACAACCTAAGTTGGACCTATGGATACCTATGGCCCATGCGCCAATGAGTGGAGTTCCAGCAGGGGAATGGGGAAAACCATGGGGGCTTGGCGGAGATTTTTGTCCTCCATGAAGCCATCAGAAAACAGGCCATGGACAAGATCGACCAATTGGACAATCAGAATGAATGCCAACATGTGTGACAAGTTCAGGATCTCTTTCAAATCCAACATCAAATCGAGTCAAAGTCCTGAATGAACAAAAGATGAACATACATAAGAAGAAACTCATAATAAACTTTTGAGACATCTTGGGGCCGTTCAAAGTTGTATGATGTACCGTGTAGATAATTGAAAACCGGCTATCAAATCATATAAATCATTTCTAGTTGAAAATTGCGGTTTTCCATTCTGAATTTCCAAGGATCCCATCGAATCCATGCTCTGATTTACCTCCTCCACATCAAGCTCGCTCAGCTCTTCATCATCATCCGCCGGAACTGTTGGTTTCATGACGCACTCTCTGACTGCAAAGAATATGTCCAGAATTGCTGCCATGCCCCCAACGATCAGCATGTGGTATCCGAGCGCCACGTGCTTTAAACCCGGGATGGCTGGAGGGGGGGAAGGATTGTAGACCGGGCCCATCAAGGGCATAGAGACACAGTAGAGGTAGAAAGCCAGCCGATTGCACCAGTATGCCATCTTCACTACGAAAAAAGACCTGTTTTGTGCGTTACTAAAATCATCAAAAAACAAGAAAACCAGTCGTGGCAGCCATCCCAAAACAGGGCTAGCAAAAAAAAATAGTTGAAACCAGCAACCAGTGACCTGCGTCGTTGAAAGCTTTCCAAGGCTTCACATTCACACTCATCGGTCTGCAAATGCAAACAGGCTGTGATACCGGAGCAGACTACGCTGCAGGTAAAAGCACCCAACAACCTCAGACTTGTAAAGGCAACGGCCAACACCTCCTCAAGTCCCCCAGTGAAAAAATCTCGGACCTGGAAATTCTTGGAGGAACCACACGCAATCAAAATTGCCAAGCCGGTGCCTTCGAACTATCCCCAGGCTATGAGTCCCTTTTGATGATACAGATGTTCAGTGATATATATATATATATATGCAAATGATATTACGTATAATGTGAGTTGTATAACATATGTACCGCACAAGGCGGTGGCGGAAGTTTCAGAATAGGAAACCTATAGGAGACGTTGGTTGTTGTGAATCACGGATGGCAGAGCGAATCCACTGATTGACCGAAAGGTGGTTGGGGTTGTGTTTGCTGGAATGGTTGCAATGGTTGCAGTGGTCACCTCACCCACAACTGCTGGATGTAGTGTGATGTACTGCAACTGTAGTTGTAGTTGTAGCGTAGTGGCGTTGTAGTTGTGGTGTAATGTAATTAGTGTAGTGTAGTTGCAGTCATATAGTTGTAGCTGTAGTTGTTTTGTAGTTGTAGTTGTAGTTGTTGTAGTTGTAGTTGTTGTTGTTGTTGTTGTAGTTGTAGCTGTAGTTGTTGTGTGGTTGTAGTTGTTGTGTAGTGTAGTTGTAGTAGTAGTAGTAGTTTTTGTTGTAGTTGTTGTAGTGGTAGTTGTAGTTGTAGTAGTAGTAGTAGTTGTTGTTGTTGTTGCTGTTGCTGTTGTTGTTGTTGTTGTTGCTGTTGTTGTTGTTGTAGTTGTTGTAGTTGTAGTTGTTGTAGTTGTAGTTGTTGTGTAGTTGTTGTAGTTGTAGTTGTTGTAGTTGTAGTTGTTGTGGTTGGTGTTGTTGTTGTTCTTGTTGTTGTTGTTGTTGTTGTTGCTGCTGTTGCTGTTGCTGTTGTCGTCGAAGTTAGGGTAGTTAAGTTAGTGAAGTTAGTTAAGTTAGTCAAGTTAGTTAAGTTAATCAGTGTCTACTTTTTCGACATCTTCACGTCAAAAAAGGCTCAAAACCCTCAGTTTTTTACACTGTTGACTTCGAAATGTGCTTCGCGCCACAACGGCGTGCACTTTTTCGACACTTTTTCGACATCTGAACCTCCAAAGTGGTCCGAACCCCTAGTGTTTTTAACATTTTGACTTGGAAATGTGCTTCGCGCCACAACGGCGTGCACTTTTTCAACATCGCAACTTCCAAAAGTGGTCCGACATTGGTGTGTTTTGTACATTTTGACTTCAAAATGTGCTTCGCGCCACAACGGCGTGCACTTTTTCGACATCGCAACTTCCAAAAGTGGTCCGAGAATGGTGTGTTTTGTACATTTTGACTTGGAAATGTGCTTCGCGCCACAACGGCGTGCACTTTTTCGAAATCTCAACTTCCAAAAGTGGTCCGAGACCGCCAGTTTTTTACACTTTTGACTTGGAAATGTGCTTCGCGCCGCAACGGCGTGCAATTTTTCATCTCTCATCTGGCCAGCTGGCTCCGCACCCGCCGCTTTAGCGAGCCTACTTTTCGACCCACCGGAGCCACAAATCATTGGAAAAACAGAGTGTTTCGCGACTTTCCTACCTTTTCGCGCATCTGCATCTTCTTTCTTCTGATCTTGTCTCTTCTGACTCTTCTCACCTCTGCTTTTCAACTGTCCATATTGTCGGAAGTTTCACTTCTAAACTTCCTTCGATAATTAATTACTGTATACTATTTTCAGGGTCTACGTGAATGTACTGCAGGGCTTCTGCAACCGTTTACGGTAATCTTTCTGCAATTTTCTGCATCCTGGTTACAAGATGGGATACCATGGGACCCGCTGGGCATTTTCTGCAGATTGCCTCGAGAGCTCATAATACGCGAAGCCAGCGATGAAGCCGCTCTGCCCTGCCGCGGCGTCGGCCACCTGCGGGATGGCGGCGAAAAAAATATCGCAGGGAAAAACCACACCGTCTTGCACCGTATTGATATGAGCTATATGATGTATGATATTTGATCCTTAAGGCATGATATATGTATGATATATGTATGATATACGATATCTGATACGGACAGCCCTACAAGATGATACAAACTAGGAGTAGAGTAGAGAATCCATTTCTATGCAACTTCAGCGGCGGTTTCAATTGGTTTTCTGACCGTGAAATCCCGGACAAAAACGGGAACCTGTTCGCCCCAACCATTTCCCTCCGACCTTCAATGCCGCGTTCAATGTCTGCATGGCGGAGCTGTAAAGCTTAATATTGTTTGATGCAAGATAAACCGATATACATCGATATACCCACTGGTCCTCAATGGTCTCAGCATGTGTTACACTGTGCCTGACAGCAATCATCTTGACATGTTTATGGAATAGCGTGCCCACTATGAAGACATACAGTATCGGATCCTATCGGATCCATGCTGCCTAGGAAATTCGGTTCGGACTGGCCATCTTTGATCCTGGCATCTATGCTGACATGCTGACAGTGGGACGAAGAACATTGGCGGCTTGAAGGCGGACAAGTTCGATAAAATTAGGTACGGTCGCATGTATACAATAAAAGACAGATGCATTGTATCAAACAATATAATATATATATATGCATAGTCATAGTCATTATATATGTTTATATATAATTATATATACATTGTATACGGATGTATACAGTACACACATTCTGCAAGCCACTGAGAGAATTGCCCCTTGTGGGATCCATTGTGACATCCCTGGGTTCGGTCGTTCCCTGGGTGGTTCCCAACGGGTCTGCAACTCCAATCGGAAAAAACCCTGATGGGATCATCATGAACGGGGGCTGGGAAAGATGTTGTCCATGATTATCCGTGATTATCCATGCTGAACCCGATGATTATCCATTACCATCCATTACCTGTACTATCAACATGTATCAACTATTGTCAACAATTGATCAACTATTATCAACAATTTATCAACTATTATCAGATGGATGATTTTCCTATCGGATACTATTATCACTATTATCAAAAAAATCACTATTAGGTGGATGGGATGATTTTCCTATCAGATACCTATCCCCCAGCTCCCCGAAACCCGGCTGGACTTCCCAGCGGATCTTCTGTCGATGGTTCACATGGCCCACCAGCTGGGCATGTTGATCCGAGACCTGGCACTGGCGAAGGGGCCGCAGGTAGCTAAGTTGCCTACTTGATTATAATATACCCTCTGGTAATTTAAAATAGCTATGGAAAATCACCATTTATAGTGAATTTTCCCATTAAACATGGTAATTTTCCATAGCTATGTTAAATTACCAGAGGGTAGCGTTTGGGTTTATGGATGTTTATGGGGGATATAACAAACTAGTTATCTAGTTAAAGGCCTAAGAGAACCTTAACTGATATTTTAGGCGGCCCCTTCCTGCACCCTCCGGTCATCAACGTGGCAATGGAGAATCCTCCATTTGGTTCGATGATTTTCCCGGCTATAAACCTCCCATTTAGTTCGGGGACTTCCCAGCTGACCCATGTTTGATTACCAAGGGTAATCTTTTCGTTATCTTTGGCACGGGAACCCCATATAGATAGATATGTTCCACTTAAATTACCCTTCAGTGAAACATGGCAAGCTGTCCCCGAAATGGTCATTGAAATGGGAAAATCATCAACCTAACTTGGAAATTGTTGATGATTTTCCCATTTCAATGACCATTTCAATGACCATTTCGTACATTTTGATTACCGGAGGAGAGGAGAAAAAAAAAAGTGAATTTTAAGACCGTTTTCTCCGGGGTTTCTGGGTGATTTTTATTGAAGTCTTTGGCCAGCCATTTTTGCGGATGCCATTCTGAAACCATGACCGAAGAAGAGTCGCTGGGGTTTTCGGAAGACCTATAACCTGTAGCATGAAACAACCTGTCAAGCTGCATAGATGTTCACTGGTTGGTGGTTGAGCCACCCCTCTGAAAAATATGAAAGTCAGCTGGGGTTACTATTCCCAATATATTATGGAAAAAATCAAAAATGTCCCAAACCACCAACCAGTTCATGGCTGACTTCTCTCATTACGCTGAATCCGATTCAGTGATGTCGAAGGCAGAACTTGGACTTGATGATCATGATGCAAACAAACATGATCTGATTAGATAGTCGATATGAAATCTGACTACAACACACCCATGAGCCGAATTGCGCATAATTATGCAGTTGTCTCCCCCTCTCTCTCTCTCTGCGATGCTGTTCTGCTTTCACTGACCCCAGGTGCAATGTCATTTTTTTCACGTTCACTGCTCTGGGTCATCCGTAGCTGTGGCCAGATGATTGCTGGCCTGGCGCCAGGGTCGCCGCTTACATCTTCTGGACCCATACCCTAAAACTGCCAATAGAAAATTATCGTCCAGCCCGCTTGAAATATCCCGAAGTTGGGATTCCATGTTAAATATTTTAGAGACTCTTACGCACCATACATTTTTTTGCATCAGTCCCCTCCACAAATTACCTTTATTTAGGGAACTCTACCTACCCCCACCAAGGGGAGAATTGTCATCATTCAGCAAGAAAATAGTCTTCCACACCCCATGCACTTGAGGTTTCATATTGAAATTGTGGGGATTATTTAGATTATAGCAAAACACCCCCCCAAAAAATAAAAATAAATCCCACTAAAGTGTTCGATCTTTGCAGAGGTCAATGTGGGAAACCCAATAGTTTTCCCATCCTTGACCACCTTTGAGGTTTATTTTACATCATCCCAAATGGGGGTATACCGGCATACCCAATAATAAACATCTAGATATAACCTGGCACGACCACGCCTAACCCTTACATAATACCTGTGTCCTAACCTCTACGTCTGTCATGCATTATTCCTTATAACAGCTTATGTCTAACTCTCATCATGTGACCACCCGTTACCCCCAAAGCCCTTGAAGCTGTTGTGCATTGATGTGTCAAAGAGCTGTTTGTCCGAGAATCGAAGAACGGTGAGGACAAGGAAAGTCAAAAATATTCAAAAATACTAGAGAAAAATAAAATCAAACTTAAAATATACTGAGAATTTAATCCCTGGGATTTCAACCGTTCGTGGTTAAAAATCAGCTCATCTGCGCGTGGTTAGAAGTCCTTTCTGCGCACAGTTAACTCCAAAGTCTTGGCACATGGTTAAGATCAGGCATGGCGCAGTCAAGGACTTGAGTGCCCGTGCGAAAGTGTTTGCATGTTTTGCTGTGAAATCGCTTTTGCAAATCTGGCCAGAGATATATATATATATATATACAGTATTATATATACATATGTGTAGATATGCGTGTGTATTATATATATATGATGATATAATACTGAAAGGTTAGTAAAACAGTTTAAATTAAGGTTAATAAAATCTTAAGGTTAGCTAGTAAGTTTTCCCAAATAATGTTTTTTAAAACATCCAAGGGACACTAACCCAAGACGATCTTTCCTTTGGGATCATTTTCATTAGTACCAAGGCCACCTACCTTGATAGATAAGATAGATAAAGAAATAAATAATGGAAAACATATATCACACAATCAGAAGTAGAACTCAATCACCAAGGACCCTAGAATCAAATTCCAAAGACCCCCTATCGGCTGCAAAACCTTTAAAGTTAGAAAAAAAAACATTAAGGGTTAGAAGTGGTCCTCATAAAACTGGGGATGGTTTCAGCTTATTATCGGGTTTACCACATTAGGGCCGTTATTTGCCACATTCTTGGTTAATGGTATGGTTTCCTAATTTTTGGTTTTAATTGCCACATGGTACATAATTACCGTGCATGGAAGAAATGCCGCACCACTTGATAGGGGGTTTAACAATTTTTAAAATATTTATAGAGGGTTCACCTGTGTTTCAACTACAGTATCCAAGGTGGTGCAGGATTTCTTCCATCCACAGCATCATTTCCATCATAGTAATGGCTATTATTTACAAAACGTTTTTGGTTGATGGGATCGTTTCTTATCGAAATCAATTATATAATTACCTATACAGTTATAATATACATTATTCATTAATCCACATTACGCAGTATCATTTCCACATATCTCCTCCATCCATGGTAGATCTTCCCATCATTTCTCTCAATCCCCATGGATCCCGTCCGATGTTGTCGCCTCAGCCGCATAGGCTGCGAGCGCTTTCAGCGCTTCAGCCGTGGCAGCCTCCGCTGCGCCCACGCGACCCAGCAGTTCCTCAAAACCTGAGCGCCGCGGGGCAAAACATCCAACAGATTCTCATGCACGGCACTTCTTGTTAGCTGACTTCAAGTCCCACCCAGCTATCACTTGAGCTGAAAAAAAACACGATTCAAAGTGTTTGTGCGCACAAGGGTCTGGCGCGAATCCTTTCGTTTTACTTTCGCGGCCACAATGGTGGCTTTCGCGGAACACACATGTTAAGACAACCTCTTTCGCGGACCTTTCGCGGTAAAAGGCGAAAACCTGCAGTCACATTGACATATATTGACATGAGAAGGGTTAAGTTATGTCTGACATTGGTCTTTGCTCACCGTCTCTTCACGCACCTCATCCGCCTATCAATCTGAGGGGGAGGAAAGGAAGAGGAAAAGAAGATAGGAAATGGAAAGAATAGAGGAGGAGGAGGAGGAGGAGGAGAGGAGGAGAGGAAGAGGAAAGAAAATGGAGAGGAGAAAGGAAAAGAACAGGACGAGAAACAAGGGAACAGAAAGGAACATGAAGGAAATAAGAGAGGAAAGAAGAAGAAGAAGAAGGAAGAAGGAAGAAGAAAGGAAAAGGAAAGGAAAGGAAAGAAAGAAACGAAGAGGGATAGTGAAGGATTTTCACCATAGACCATAATTATGGAGACTTTGCAGGGGTCTGGTGGACCTTGGCCCATTGCATCTTCCGCGACCCTTTCGCGGATCTTTTGCAGATTTTCCGGGAAATTCCGGTCCCCAAACCTGCCAATTTCCTATGACATATAGTAGCTTACGACCATCAACGAGTTGTCCCTGTTGGTCCAAATATTCACAGAGAAATGCTCACATGTCATGAAGGAACACAAACATACTACCTTTCGCGAAGCCATTTTACTTTCACGATCTTTCGAGACCCAGCATTTCCCTTTTGCGAGAGTGCTGTAGGACAACAGCAAATTTAAACAAAATAATTAGGATTAGGTCCTGATATGTCCTGATTAGATATGTTTTAGATATGTTTTTATGGTAACCGACAGAATTATGGAAAAAAAAAAACGTTCAACTTAGACAGGCGGCGCCTGCGTCCGATTTTTCCATAATTGGGTTTTTCCCCATAAGGGTTCAAAATATCCCGGAAGTGATCCGAACCTTTTTTTTTCCATAATTCTTGGAGGTGGCCATTATTTCCATAATTGATTTTTCCTGTAAAATCAGGGGGCTAGGGCAGATTGACCGGTTTTTCCATAATTATTTTTTCCATAATTATTTTTTCCATAATTATTTTTTCCATAATTAATGTTTGGGGCTCCACCTGTTGGACATGTCATGGATCCACAATTCAAACCCCTTTTTTTTGGGGGTTATGGAAATATGTATGCAAATGCAAGTATGTAGTATCAACCCAATTGGTGGCTTGGCAAAAGGATACATCCCGCATATGTATGTACGTACAACAATGAGTTTTGGTGGTGCAATTGTATATCAATGGAAGACTTAGGGGCATATACCAGATCTTTAGACACAAATTTTCTATAATTCAATATTCCCGCCTTAAAATGCACTCAAATTGCGAATCGATGGACATACAGTCACCGACAGAATTATGGAAAAAAAAATAATTATGGAAAAAATAATTATGGAAAAAAAAAAGGTTCGTAACTTTTCTATCATTGACAGGCGGCGCCTGTAAATTGAAACGTTTTTTTTTCCATAATTCTGTCGGGTGCTGTAAGTTTTTTTTCGTGGCTCACTTGGAAAACAATCAGCCACTGATAGCGACTGTGTCATGGCCGTGCAACCTTGTTCTTCAGCAGGGCCGAGCTCTGTCCACGGACTGCCTCCAGCAGACGATGGCCCGAGAGCGTAGCAAGTTACTCAGGTGTAAGTTATTCAGCACAATGCAAAAAGTATGCAAGAAATATGTAAGAAGCACTGTTTTGTAGTTATAAGATGTTATAAGTAGATATAAGATATATAAGATGATATAAGTAGAAGAAAAAGGCAATAATAATAACGATAGAAAATGTAGCAGCTGATCATCAGAGAGATGAAAGAGGCAAGATGTTAAGATGTTAAGGCGAAAGCTGAAGAGACGCATTGAAGCATTTGTACTGATATGGAACGAAGTAACAAGATAAACATTGCAAGGGAGAGGCTGTATGAAGGAAATGGGGTGGTACAGTAGAAAGCGAGTGAGGGAAGGAAAAGAAAAGATGGAGATGTAGGATGTGAAGATGTAATACGGACACTTTTACAATCTTTTACACACAGACTCTCATACGCAGAGACGCTTTTACACACAGAAGCTTTTACACACAGAGACTTTCACACACAAGCGCCTTTCCACACACAAGAGCCTTTACAAGAAGAGGCTTTTTCACACACGCGCTTTTACACACAGACGCTTTTACACACAAACGCATTTACACACAGACACATTTACGGTCATTTACACACAAACGCATGTACACGGAGACGCATGAGACGCCTTTACACACGGAGGCTTTTACGCACGGACGCTTGTATACGGACGCCTTTACACACAAACACCTTTTATATCCTTTTATATACACAAACGCTTTCACACACAAACGCTTTTACACGCAAATGCTTTTACACACACGGACGCTCTTACACACAGACGCCTTTACACGCTCAGAGGCTTTGACACACACACACACACATACACAGACACTTTGACACACCGACGCTTTTCCACACACACGCTTTCATACACAAACAGACGCTTTTACACACATTCACTTTTACACACCGACGCCTTTGCACACACTAAGTGCTTTTACACACAAACACCTTTACACGGAGATGCATTGACAACGCTTTTACACAAAAAAGCTTGGCAAAGTACTTCGCAGTACTACTTCGTACTACAAAGCTTGCGCAGGGTGCGAGAGGGGGGGCGAGAGAAAGGGGCGATAGGAAGGGGCGAGAGGAAGGGGCGATAGGAAGAGGCGAGAGGAAGGGGCGAGAGGAAGGGGCGAGGTGGGGGGCGAGAGGAGACGAGAACAGCAAAGCTTGCACAAAGGCCACAAAGGCACAAAGTACCTTTGTACTATTACAAAGCTTGCACAAACTATCACAAGTACTTCCCAGTACTACCCAAAGCTTGCACAAAGTACAAGTGCTTCCCAGTAGTACTTCGTACTACAAAGCTTGCAGAAAGTACTTCCCAGTAGTGCTACTTCGTACTACAAAGCTTGCCGAAACACAAAAAAAAACCTCGCATTATGCTTGCGGAGCGCGCCGCGGGAGAAGCAAAACACACAAGAAAACGTCACATCACGCTTACGGAACGCGCCGCGGAACAAGCATGGTACCAGGAAAAATTGCAAATTTCCCTCAGTTTTTGACGATCGAACCTCATTTCGTGCGTAAGGGTTGCGCGGGACAACTCGAAATCACAATTTGTTCATCAGTTTTTGACGATCGATCACATTTCGTGATCGTTCGTGGCAGCCTGAGAGAGAAGAGAAAATAGCAGACGAGAAAGACGAGGAGAGAAGAGAGAGAGAGAGAGAGAAAAGAGAGAAGAGAGAAGAGAGAGAGAGAGAGAAGAGAAAGAGAAGAAAGAGAAGAGAGAGAGAGAGAGAGAAGTATACTATGTATAGAGACTGAGAAGATCTAGCAGAAGGGATAGATAGCTAGATAGAAGATATAGAAGATAATCATATCTAGACACACAATCATAACACACACCAACCTCCCCCTCCTCCGCCCCCCCCCCACCGCCCCCTCCCCCCCCCCCCTTCCCCCTCCCCTCCCTCTCTCTCCTCCTCGCCTACTCTCTCCTCTCTCTCTCTCTCTCTCCTCTCTCTCCTCTCTTCCCGCTCTCCCTCTACATCTCCTCTCTCTCTCTCTCTCTCCGCTCTCTCTCTCTGCGCCTCTCTCTCCTCCTCTCTCTACTCTTCTCCTCTCGCTCTTTCTCTCTCTACTCTCTCGCATGCTCTCGCCGCTCCGGTCCCCGTGGTCTCGCGCCCCTCGCTCTCTCTTCTCCTCGCTCTGCTCTCCCTCTCTCTCCTCTCCCTCTCCTCCTCTCGCTCTGCCTCTCTCTCTCTCCTCTCTCTCTTCTATCTCTCTCCTCTCTCTCCTTCTTCTATCTGCTCTCTCATCTTCTCCTCCTGCTCCTCTCTCTCCTCTCTCCTCCTCTCTTACCTCTCTCCTCCTCTCTCTCCTCTCTCTCCTCTCTCTCCTCATCTCTCCTCTCTCTCCTCTCTCTCTCCCTCTCTCTCCTCTCGCTCCTCTCAGCCTCCTCTCTCCATCCGCTCTCCTCTCTCCTCTCTCCTACTCCTCTCTCTCCTCTCTCTCCTCTCTCTCCTCTCTCGGCTACAATACATCATACTATTGATGCCAGTATGTTCACATTTCCTGAGCATGAAACCGCTTTACGTCTTTTAAGATGTAGCATGTGAAGGTATTATGTCAGCTCGTTTTCTAAGAAAAAACTACACTCAGGCGCTCTCACAAAAAAATAAAACAAAGAAAGAAGTCACTGGTTCAGTTGCGCCACATCTTTCACCCCACCCAAATAAACATCCATGCAGAACGCACCTGAGACGTGCAATGCTGCCAGCTGTCCGGAGATTCCCGATTCTCGCAGGGCATCGCGATGCTGCTGAAGGTCAGCGGACAGTGCAGAGAGGTCATATGCCACACTCGAGACTGGCGGGCACCGCACGGATGCTGAGGGAGTGCTTTTTGTTTCTTGGTTTTTTGGGGGGTGCACAAAAAGCACCGGTGCGACGAGAAGGCCTTAGGTAAGCTTCTATTTATGGGTCTTGAGGTTCCATTCCCACAGCATTACCATTCACTACCAGCTTTGAAGCTCAATGGCATCCAATGGCATTCTCAAATCAAAGCGGATATCATCAAACATCAATCCTTGTTTAGCGGATATCATCAAACATCAATCCTTGTTTAGGGGAACTTGCCGTGACCCTATTCAGGCCTGATGTTCCTTCAAGCATGGGCTGTGAACATTCTTCGATGGTAGCATCGTCACCTGTCCCAGCTAATGCCAACACCGGATTAATAAACCCCCCCCCACCAGGTAGGTAGGTAGGTACCTTCTGGCTAGTTTTCTTGACGACCCCTAAATAAACGCACCCTGAACCATAAAATTCTGAACCATAAAACTTTGGATATGGCTTACGTCAATTAGATCTTAATAGAATTCCATTGGATTTGTTAAAATCTCATGGATCATAAAGGGGGTTGATTAATCAGGGGCAAACCGTGGTTATTATTAATGGGGGACATGGGCTCATGGGGGGTACCCTTTGGGAGCTATCCAAACTGATGATTTTCATAAAGATTTTTATTAGAAATCGATCATTTGGGGAATAATTGTTTTTTGAAATTTTCAATGATCAACTTAAACCTTAAGTATAACAATGATGATGAAACAAAAAGTAAAAAATAAATGGAAATAAAGGGAATTGGAAATAAAAATTGCTGGATTAAAAAATGAATTTCAGCACTGGTGGTTGATTAATCGGGGGTAGGCCAAACGGTTTATTAATCAGCGGGGACCACCTGTTTTTTAAATTACATTTTTTTTTGGGGCAGTGGTGGTTGATTAATCTGCGGGGGTTTATTAATCCTCACTTGACATTACTTGTGATAGCTGCGCATGGAAAACTAAATGAATCTCAGGTGCATGTTCTGTGTCAGTACTTCAAGTCATGCAAAGTCCACATCACACTGGACAACAATGAAATCAGCGCCATGTCCAACCAATCGATTTTGAGCATGACGGCGTGACGGCGTCTTTGCCGCAGTCCTCACCTAGGCGCTGCATAGCTGTCAGCAAGCAAAGCCGTTTGGCTTGCAGAGATTCTGCAGCGTCTGCCTTGGTTCGTGGTTTTTGGCCACCCCGGGAAGGAACATACATACACACACACATATATATTATGATATATATATATATATACGTATATATATATATACATATATACACAGTATATATATAATATACGTGTGTGTATGTATCTATGTATGTATGAATGAATGTATGAATGTATGTATGCGAACGTCAATGGGGATCATCCCATATATTGCGCTATTTTATGTTGTTTTTTCAAAATAATATCAAACCACAATCATTGTCTGGGATAAATTACTGCGGTTTGGCCAACCAGATGCGGCTGGATGTGGCTAGAAACTGGGCTTCACCCTCCACCCTAAGACTCCCTAAGAGACAAGTTGCTCGTCGTTTCATACCAGGTTCACAAGATGCAGCACCGCCCATAGCGACAGCTTAGCGACAGCTCAAATGCCAGAGGATTCGTATTCTGAATGGCTGGACATTGCAATCCTTTCAGGTGAGTCCGGTTCACTGTGGAGTGCTTGAAATTCCTTCAACAGGCAATGTAGTATGGTCTTGGGAAAGCTGACATCAAAGAAACGAAACCATAGTTGCTTTTCCCTAGAGGTGGGAACAGTTGTAGCATGCATTGTCTGCGCCCCCTGGAACCACGTTTTTATGTTGCTTCCTTCGTCTCCCCTGGCTGGCCAAGAAATTTGAAACAAACCCGTCTCACAAGCCATGGTCTCAGCAAAAGGCTGTAGAATCTGTAGTGTTGCCATTTGGCCTCTGATGGTCTGGGTATGTCTTGATACGTTCGGAGTTCAATCTTCAGAGCCGCTATGTTTCACTCTAATGGAGTGATGCTTTCAGGTGGGACATATCTTTTTTTTGCTGGGGCTTCCGGACATATCTTACAACCATGATTTCTCATGATTTCTCGCTCTTTCCACTCATTTCCCATGTTCGGCCATGTCCCACCTACAGGAACTATTCTCAAACACATCGCCGCGCAAGTTGAGCGGAAAGACCACACGAAGCAAAGGAACATGCAAATCTGTTGTGAATGCGCTGGGTGCTCTGATTTAATCACGCAACGTGCAAAAAACAAGACAAAACACTTAAACACTTTGTGTTGAATATCGAGTTCCCTCTTCCTTCAACCAACTTCTACAGTATGAATCATGTCTCAAAAGGCGAACTTCAGACTGTGCTTCCCCGCCCAAAGTCCCAAAGCATCCCCCAAAATATATCGACCACCTGCTGGTTGGCGGTTATAACACACCTGACATTTATCTTTCCATTTGGGATCTTCCCAGTCATACAGGGTCAGTTGGCAAATATACGACATGTGCATTTGGTGGTGCAAACTCTGGACACGTATGTACACATATCATATTATAGTATACAGTATACATATAAAATGTGCTGAAAAGCACCAACCAGCCTATCATTTCCACATCTCCATTTAAAACACCGTATAAGACGCTGTCGCAACTCAGCCATGGCCAACCCGGTGCAAATCTTCCTCCATGCAGGTCAGAGCCTGGCCCAGAAAATTGGGGCGACCATGAGTTGAGCTAGACAGTTAAGGGCAGATTTAGGGGTTGATCAATGTTGATCAATGTCAATCAATGTGTTGTAATCAATGTTAATCAATGTTAATCAATGTTAATCAATGTTAACCAGAGTTCATCAATTTCAATCAATGTCAATCAAAGTGAATCCATGTGAATCAATGTAAATCAATCTTAACTAGCAGATTTAGGGGTGATTCAATCTTAATGATCAAACATGTGGGAGATATGGCTTGGTTTAGCTGGCAAAATCTACGGGAACATGGCTGGTTGTTACCGCCCCTTTATGTAGATAAACGTTGAAAATCATGGTGTTCTGCAACTATTCCCATTTTAAAAAAAAAATACTAATGAAACTAACTATCCTTGCACAAGCTGGTTCGGCCCACTGAACAAGTGAACATCCTTGTCACCTGGCACCTTTTTTTTTTTAAGGGATCACCGATGATCGCAGGCTTCATCCCAAACCCCGCAGGCGTTTGGAATGTCACCTCTTTCAAACTCAAATTCTCCGACTCCAAGAGCTCACAATCCTTCACCACAAGCTGCCGCTGAAAAAAAACCGCAGAGTCAAATGAGTCAAGGGCATACATCAATATGCAGACTATCTTGTAACATCATATATGACACAAATCCCTCTTATTTTATGGCATGTTCATGTCTCTCTCTCATGGATTTTCAATTGTACCTTGGTTCATTTTCCATTTCTACCCCATCTCCTGCTTGAATTGCCGCAGCGAGAGGCAAAGCTCGCGGTTTTGCAGGCGAAGCTCGGAGCCTTCTGGCCTCAGAAAAAAATCTGCTTATCACACCCCCCAAAACCATCAAAAACGCTCAAGGATTTGCTGGAATGGTGGACCCTAGAACCAGACCTGTCATAAGCAGATTCCCATATGTATATATATATATGTGTGTGTGTGTGTGGGAATTGGTCAAAGTGGGAATCTGCTTATTACAGATGCTTGCACAATTCAAATTCGACTATAGGTAACACGAAATATGGGAATGGTTTGCGTATTTTTGCCCTTATTGACTTATTGGAAATATCATGAAAACGCATGACTGCAGCAAGTAGAAATAGAAAGGCAGAGAAGCATAAAAGCAGCGAAGCAGGAAAAACAAAAAGCAAAAAAGCAGGGAAGCAGAAAAGAGAGAAGCAAGAAAAGCAGAGAAGCAGAAAAGCCGGAGAAAACAAAATAACGGAAAAGCAGGAAAAGCAAACAAGGAGAGAAGCAGAAAAGCATAGAAACAGGAAAAACAAAAGAGCAAACAAGCAGAAAAGCAGAGAAGTAGAAAAGCAGAGAAGCAGAAATTCAAGAATCCAAAGAAAATACCTAAACCTGCCCAAAAGAAACCTAAAATCAATAGCCCTCCATAAGAAAGGGTTGCAACAAAAGCACGGGCCCAAAATCAAGCCGCACATGTATGTTTGAAAGGCATTCTGAGATAAATTGACGGAACAATCACAAAACACAACCCCAAGGAGCCTACAAATGCGTGAAAGCATGCATTATAGTTGATCTCCACTACACCTTAAACTACGCGGACTGTAGCAAGCAGATTTGGAGATCTGCTTATTACAGCTACTTGAAAGTTGGGACTTCCTGGGGCAACAAATTCAAGAAATAGCCGGGCCACAGCCCAGAAACTGAATCAGACTAGAATAATGTGTTTAATCAGTCTTAATTAATCGTCACAGCACAGTATGGAAGGGCTGCCGTTTCTAGGAGTCCAAGACCATGTCAAAAGTGTTCATTTGTAAAGCAGTCTTAAGGGAGTCTTGGAATAAGAAAGGGTTGCCTGAAAACCAAGAGCCACAAGAAAGGGTCGCTGCAAAACCAAGAGCCAAACATTGTTTCCTTACTCTGGGCTGGCAAATTTCTAGGCCCCTTTATATGATACCCATTAGAAAAATATTGTACACTGAATGGAGTAGGTCCACTCAGACTGTAAGAAGCAACAAATTTTCACCGTGTACGGGGCACCTGATCAATTTGCTCGTGTCAGGGTAATGGCATTCCGGTTTATTGCTGTAGGTTTGCACGCGTATACACAGTCGGAAATTTGGTCACTGACTGAAAACAACTAAACTATACCGAAACAAGTGAAGACATTACCCAGTGTCTGGGGACAACTGTAATAAGCAGATTCTCCTTTTCCACGTTTTTAGGGATAGTCGTCAAGTGAGGAGTATCTAGAATCTAGACATCATCACATCTGCCTGGGGAATTGGTTGCGCTTTGCGTATGAAGCCAGGGAGGAACATGAAACCCGGAGCCAATAGTGCACAACATTGCCCTTGGCCAGTACATGGGCTCAAAATATTTCACAACCGGCCCCAAACTCTAGAGTTCGATGCTGGAAATGATTGAACATGATTAAAGTAAAACCAGCTTCTCTTCGGCTTTAGGATGGTTTTTGGTAAGTGGGGCTTGAAATCTTCCAACTTGGGCTCAAACAAATCCGGCAGCTCCTGCACCCTGGCAGCGACATAAATGTGGAGAAAACATGGACAAATCAGGCTCCACGGACCACACTCCGCTGAAAAACCGCGGCAGGGGCACCCTTGGCCCTGCTCCATGAGCCAATCCCATGCCTGGAATTTGGATGTTTATAACCAGAATGGGGATGTGGCGAAGTAACCATAGAAATAGGACATTCGTATAATCTATAGTTAGCATTGAAATATCTAAGATATTCTTGGTTGCAATATATAACCTAAAACTAACAATATATCAAAAGATGTGTTGAAGTCATTTAGACTAGCCCGAAATGCAATGATCGGACTGTCATTTGGTGATGTCAGTGATGTCCAACTGAGATCAGAGTTTGGGAACCTACATCCTCAAGCAGCATGGCCCAAGATTCGTCAGTGATGATCAGATCATGCTAGAAATAGATCCAAAAAATGCCAAAAGAAATCCAAATCCGAAACTCCGCCAGCTTTTCTCGATTCCCATGGGTTTTCCCATGGTTTTCCCTGTGGTTTCGCCATTGATTTCCATCACTCTCCCAGGCTCCCAGATGCTCTCAGGGCCCACCGAACCATGACCAAAAACGCCAAGCAGCCGCATCGCTCCCTTGCCAGCGTGCAGCCACCTGCATGATGGCCTTTCGGCGACCTGAGAAAAGCATGACAGCGAAGAGAAACACTGGGAGGTAATGAATCAATCCATCAATATACATAATGTCAATGGCCATTTCAGGAACCTAAATTGGAGGTACCTACCATATATAAGGCCTATGTAAGGCCTATGTAAGGGAATATACCCCCAAAATATGGCCTTATATGGTACAGTACCTCCATTTTAGGATCCTGGAATTCCCATTGATAATATACTAGAATCAAAATGAATCAAATAAGATACGGGATTGAAAGGCTTGCCATGGGATTGAAAGGCTTGCCAGTGACTCAAAAAAAACTGAGTCACAGACCCAGCATGACCTCGGCGCGTTGTTTCCAGAGCCTCAAGAATTGCTGGAGAAATGCTGGAAACAGGTAGTTGAGGGGTGCCTAAAATCGGGTGTATATATGGCCCAGGCCAGAAGCCCCGTGATGCTCATGGTTCTGTATGTAGGCTGTATGTAGGAGGCTCTATGTCACTATGTAGGATATAGTTTACACACCGTGTCATGTGGGACCGTGGGATGGGTGGGGTGTTATAGAGGTACCATGTAGATAGTGCATGGTACTGTATGGGTAGTACGTTCCTACACGTGTGCATAGCATATGAGATCTTGACAGTAGCTGGCTGGCAGCGGTACTTGGGCATTCCTTCAACCAATCTTATAACATCTTTTAACTGGATTCCAACCACTGGCGGTTAAGGTTAAAATCGAATCCAAGAAGTGGCCAATTGATATGAACATGTTGAGAAGGAAAATATGAATCATGTCTTTACAGACGGTACATGTCCGAACCATTCCAATCCTGGCAATGCCCCTCAAGCATCCTCAAGCCATCTCAGGCCTATGAGACATGACATGACATGACCATGCCCAGCCATCCCCAGTCGTCATCCCACAGGTCCCTTGACGTGGCTTCCTGTTGGGCCGCCTGGGAGCCATGACAAGCCGCAGATGCGCAGATCACATGAGTTGGGACAATTTTTTGACCCTAGCAACCCCAAGAAAGAATGAAAAAACATAGGAAAGTGACCACCTCTTCAGTTGGATTTTAGGTTTCTATGTGTTTCTATATGTGTCTATCTTCTGTTGAGGGTACAACATCCCAAAATAAAGAAAAAGCTGGGTCTATGAATGGTTGGATGGTCCCAATATCCACGCCTCCAATGCCTCTGTGACTTCCTCCACTTCAAGCTTTAAAGCCGCAGCATGTGCCTGCGGAAATCACCCGGAAAGAGTTTGACGTGGCAATGGACATCTGCACAAATCACTAAAAGTCAATGGAATCCCACCACTTGCCAATGGGAAAGCCTCTGTTGAGACTTTTCCGAACCATTTGAAGAGGAACATTACTTCTGTCCACAAGTGGTTTGACAAAAACTACATGTGGGCATGGGTAAAAAACCATAATAACCTCTGGTCATTCAATAAAATATCTCATCTATGGAAAATCACCATGCTTAAGAGCTAATAATAGCTAACACATCAATGGACCATGGGCTCCATCCTCATGTAACAAATCATCGGAAGCTGCGTGTTGGAAAGTTTGGGGGAAGCTCCACAACTCCCAGATGCTCACAGCTCCACTTTTCATTCACCAGGTCCAGAAGCTGCAGGAGCACGCTACGCTCTGCGTGGCTGGAACGGTCGTGGACCTGCGACATATTTAAGGGGCACGAATCGTGCTTCAACCTTCCAAACCTGGCGAAATATCCAGAGGAATCCTCAAGATTTTGGGATTGATGCATCTTGATGCATCGCAAGATTCTACTTTGGGCATCTCCTGGAATTTCCAAATCCCAGGAATTTCACCGAATTCTAGGTTTCAGTTTTTGACCTTCAAAAACGTCAAGAATTACCCACAAGACTTCCGCAAAAAGCGGAAGAACTCCCACAAATCTCGAAAAGTCATACAATCGAATGTTCTAGAACCCACCTGATCACATCATTGACTGCAAAACGTATGACAAATGCATAGGTCACTGATAAATTCGTTGAAATTCCTGAAATTCTGAGCTTTCCTAGAAAGCAAGAAATGCTAGAAAATTCTCGGAAAAGGATGCTCCAGGATGTCTCTCTTCGGAATACCCAACTAAAGCTCTTGCAGTGAAGAATGTGGCATGATGAGACGCCCCCAACACTCATCATGCCACTGTTGTTCTTGTTGAACCGAGAAACCACCCTACCATCCACATCCATATCATCCATCCACTAACAAGAACCTGGAAAATCACCCGATCTGACAGAAAAGATCATCTGTGGGGCCATGTTTCGATCTATCGGAATGAGGAGGGCAGCTTCCTCCACCCGATTCGCGCGACCAAGTCACCAGAAAAATGGGTCGAAGTTCATTGCTACTGGCTTCCACCTTTGGCAGAAAACTCAGGGAACATCAACTTACACCCAGCAGGAAAATGCACACAGAAAAGCAACGCAAACCAAATAAAAATACAAGATGCATCTTAGCGAGACATCATTGATAACATATATATCTATACATATCTGATAATGATAATACGGATATAATACGGTAACTACATTTAAATATACGAACTGGTATTTCATACTACCTCCCGGGCCTCGCGGTCTGGCCCGCCCTCCACATATTTAAATGTCGTTACCGTATAATCATCTCCGATACTTATCGATAATTTATATATATAATATTATATATATGTATATATACACTTACGATCTGAAACATAGAATCAGGTGATTTTTTCCAAAATTGCACCAGGAACACATAGAATGACGTGTAACATAGAATGAGGTGCGAACAGCAAATTTATGATATATGGGTTTCAGTCACCGACTATATATATATATCCCAACCTTGCAAGCAAAAAAGGTAAGTGTCAGTCAGCCAATATGTGTTGTTAATATGAATATTACACATAATATGCCCCCTGTCTTACAAGTCTGTCCAAAACCAAAAAAAGCGTGTTTTCTCCCTTCAAAAATATACAGGAACAATCCTCCAGTTAGAAAAAAAGAAACGGGAAATGAAACTTATAGAACGAAGGGGCAAGAGAACGGGAAGAAACTGCTAGAAAAGGAGACCCAGGTTCCCCCGCAGGGTAGAAACATGTGGCTATAGTGGAGAAAAACACACATAGAATGTCGATGAAAACTACAGAAGATATAGATCAATGGGCAAAAAATACATAGAAGGAAAGGAAAGGAAAGGAAAGGAAAGGAAAGGAATATCATAAAAGGACAGGACAAGAAAAGAGAAGAGGATAAGAGAAGAGGGAACTCCAGATTGCCCTGCAGGCCACAAACACGTGGCTATAGTTCAGAAAAACACACATAGAATGCCCATGGAAACTACATCAGATATGGATCAATGGGCAAAAAAGGCATAGAAGAAAAGGAAAGAAAAGAAAAGGAAAGGAACATCATAGGAAAGGACAAGAAAAGGGAGGAGGACAAGAGAAAAGGGAACAGGTTCCCCTGCAGGTCACAAACATGTGGCTATAGTGGGGAAACCACACACCTAGAATGCCCATGGAAACTACAGCAGAATACAGCAGATTTAGATCAATGGGCAAAAAAGACATAGAAGGAAAGGAAAGGAAAGGAAAGGAAAGGAAAGGAATATCATAAAAGGACAGGACAAGAAAGAGAATAGGATAAGAGAAGAGGGAACTCCAGATCGTCAAGGAAGGCATAATTCACGTGGAAATCAGCGAAACTCATACAAACCTACCCCCAAGACCCTTGAATTCATTCTATTTGTCAATTTTTTCGCAGCATTCTATGTGTGAAGTGGGCCGGTTGGGTTTCCAAAAGGTCATTCTATGTTTCAGTTTGCAACTAAATATTTTTTAAAAAAAAAAAACGATACCCTCTGGTAATTTAACATAGCTAATTATTGAAAATGGCCATTTAAATAGTGAGTTTTCCCATTAAAAATTGTGATTTTCCATAGTTATGTTAGTTTACCAGAGGGTACATGGTAGACAAAAGCCAGATGGGTCACCAAACTCATCAAACCACCACCTTTTGCGCGCCTCCGCCCCAAGAACTCGCTTCCAAACGCCACACAGGCGCCCACTTACCTGTTGGGACTGCCATGGTGAAACCACCCGAGTTTCACCCTGTTTCACACCATCCAACATAATTATCCAAACACGTAGGTTTCCGGAAAAATTTCCCTTAAACCTTTATAAGGTGGGTTCCTTGGGCCCCTTGTGATGTTTCAACATGATCAACCAAGATCATTAAGCCGGGGTTAGGGGTTGACTATATTTGCGTAGTAAAGATATACTATATGAGATGGATATAGATTCACATATAGACACAGTAGAGACGTAGGCATAAATCATAATCATAATATAATACAATCATAATATTTATAATGCAATCATAATATTTTATAATATATAAAATAATTAGAATTATATATAATAATTATAGATATTTGATATATAATTAGGTACATAGACCATAGATGGACATATAGAATTCTGCACATTTCTCCAGATTCTCGAAAAGCCATCCCGCAACAGACCTGCAGCTGGGCACTGCACCAGGCCGAGATTGACGTGGCTGCTACAACGCCAGCAGCAGTCCGAGATGCAATCTCCTCATCCTGACCGTGGATGGGGCCAGGTATGGCCAGGTGTCCCTGGTCCCTTCCCCGAAAAGGTCATTGAGTCATTGAAACAAGATGAAAAAAACAAAAACAAAAAAACACCTGGCCAAATCAATGCCAAATCAAGTTTGGGACGAGTTGTCCTTCGATAAGTTCTAAGCCCCACTACTGCCGAAAGCCTGAAAGGGAAGAATCTAACATAAAAGAGTAGATGCCAATCCGAACAACAACTTAGAAACACTGATGGGGGGTCTTTCATATGCTGTTTTTCCCACACGAACGTGACACGTGCGTCAGCACTCCTCTGCAGCTGCTGTGTCAAGCTGGTCCAAAGACCACCTGGCTTAAATCAGTTGAAGCATGGTAGATGCCATGGGGATTTGATCAATCTCCGCCCACCGAGACGGCAACCCACAAGAAGTACTGCAGATGGTTAAGATTCACCTCTAGAAATTGTGGTTGTTGGTGGTTAAATGGCAGTGTGTCAAAACCTTGTACCCCTGGTGAACATCAAAATAGCTGGTAAATGGATGTTCATCCCACTAAAAATTATATTAATAGATATTAATAGGTATTGATCCATACCCAAATGTGGTTAAGATCCCCCATGGACCATCAATATTGGGGGGATCACCGACCTGGAACTGGCTGAAAAAACCCGTGAATTCCCGTGACCTGCGCGCTCCGTTGAGCCAGCGCGGAGGGCACCCAGTCGAATGGAAGATGGTCAGCACAAGCTGCGTATGTGCCTCCCCAAGGCTGCTCTGGCGCCTGGGATCTCAATGATTCCAGAATGAAAAAAAAATATGTTTACATCATTCTCTGTGGTAGATTTATATGAATTTGAAACCACATGAAGCCACTGATTCTGAATGATTTTGGATGATTTTGGGATGACTGCAGAAGACCCATCGACCATCGCTGCAGTTAGCAGCTGTGAAATGCTGTCTGAAATGTCTGGGACTCGAGGTCAAATATGGTCAAATGTTGCACATCAAATTCTTGCATTTTGGACTTGTGGCTGGTCTCGGATCGCATAGACTCTTCTTCTAAGTGTTAGCCATCTTTTGGGGAAATTGAGGTTGAGGACGGGGAAGTGAATATCGAGCAAACCGTTGAAGCACTTGCACACATATCACACATATCACACAACACGCACTAGATGCATGTGTATGTGTGTGTGCTCTTATTTGTTGATCTTTTATTCATCTATATTGGTATATACACAATTATACACATATTGTATCATATTATCACATATTCATATCATATCATAAGTGAATCATATCACATCTGTTTCGTGGGCGACTTGCACTTAGAATCGCCTGATTACATCCTTTGTCCCAGCCAAGCTTTCTCCACGGTCAAGCATCTCCAAAACGGGCTCTCGCAAGAAGAACTCCGCACCGGAGGCTTGCACACAAAGCTGCTTCAACCTGACAAAATTGTGGGTCACTGGTGGTCACTGGGGCACCTTTTAATTCTGGAGGGGTTGGGTGGTAAAGTTCTGGTAGATCTGGTAGTAGCTGCCCGCACTGAAAGTCTTTTCCTCGTGGATGAACAGCTCACCTGGCGGCCACTTTGGAGCCAGGCGCATCTCAGTCTGGCGTGGGCGCTCATTGTCCTTGGGACCGAGGGCGGATGGGAGCTGGCATAAAGCTTGGAGGCTGCTTGGGAGACCATGAAGCCGGCCATGAACTGGACCTGAGCATGGGCAACTCCAAGCTCCAACGGTCACCCGTCACAAATGAGTTATTTTTTGGCAAAGTGAAAGTCTGAAGTTGATATTCTTTTTGTGGCATCAAACTTGATATCTGCAGTGAGCTACCGTAGGCCATCAGCAACTTTGCTACCAAGATGCGAACTGCGACAGCGGTCATTGGATCTTATTTTGCTGCAGATCTTCTGGGAGTGCCATTGGCTTCAGCGCTGCTCCCTCTGGCTCTGGGATATCCTTTGAAGCATTCAGGCTCTGGCCGGAGACAGCACGGAAATGGCAATTGGACTTCGGAATACCTGGGAAGAGTTTGGGTATGCTTCAAACTCAGGTAGACCAAAAACAATTAACATATCTAATTATACTGTAAATGCAATGTATACTCTATATATATATATGCATATCAATTAGATATAATATGATATAATTAATATGATAAACATACGGTACAATATTATTCAAATTCATACATTCGTATAATTGATAGGCACCTGGGCACCAGAATCCAGACCGCCCTGTCCTTGCTGAACTGCAGTCGCCGGCGATGGCAAGGCGAGACGGGTGAGATCATGAAGTTCCCGTCTTAAGGCGTCGCACTCCTTGGGGCATCACGGAGCTTGCAATCAATCGATGTTTAACCAGGATGTCCTCAGGATGTTCATAGATTTTGTAGGTGCAGTGATGTTCATGGATTTGTCTGAAGATTCTGAAGGATGTGATGGTCTGTTCATATCTTTTTCAGTGGTTCCTTGAAGCTTTTTCTTGAGGTTGTCCATTTCAAGATTAGTGGCAATATTCAGAAACTGCACGATTCAATTCAACATGTGGCATATATACATCACCCAAATATATCCAAATATGGTATGAAATTTTACCAGTACAAGAAATAAAGTGAATCACACGCACATACCGGGACTTGCGAATCAAATGATGCAATCAGGTACCTGTTTGTCTATCAACACACCACAATGCAGCAAAAATACTGCACTGGCAGCACGTGTTATTAAAAATCCTGAGTTTCTGCAACAAAGTCTTCTCATTCCAAGCGGCACTCATAGCCACTGTGTAGCACTTGGACTCGGAGGAGCACAAATCACGAAGCTCTTCAACAATCGCAGCTTCCTGAGTACTTTCTTTCTAGCGCGCGTCTGACATACCCTCTGGTAATCAAGTATGGAAAATCACCAAGTTTTGGATGCTTTCTCCATTCAAAACCATCTCTATAGGGCTTACCATCTTGGATTCGCCGACATTCCACCAGCCTTGCCATGCCCAGGCACGACTTTCAGAGCTGCTTCCAACTCCTTGTTCTCCTCAGCCAACTCCGAGTCGCGTTTCTCTTCCGCATCATGTCGTTCCAGTGCTGCCTGGAACCAGGTTCCAAAATTTCACAAACATTGCACCATTTGCTCCGACAAAACAGAATGGATTACCCTCTGGTACACTAACATAGCTAATGGCCATTTATAGTGGATTTACCCATTAAAAATGGTGATTTTCCATAGCTATGTTAGTTTACCAGAAGGTACACAGCTAGACATTCCCGATGATGGTGAACACACAGCTAGACTACCCGACCATCACACCTTGCACTCGCTGAGAACATAGGCTGCTTCGGAGGACTCTGTCCTAGGCGAAGAGGATTCAAGAACAGCGGCAAAACAGGTTGAATGTATATACCGAAAATACATGTTTTGAAAATGATGAAATGATGAAAGTTCCGAATGCAGCAGGTACAGTAATGTACTGCATCCAGTCCCAGTCTCAATTTGCTCGAACAATTTGAATTCAACATAATTAATTGGCTTCCCATTGGCCAAAATATAATGTCAATATCAAATGCGTAATTATTCATATCAACGTGTTTCCGCTTTCATGATTTCGTTTGAAATTCTTGCGAGTGCTCTTTATATCTCTTTTATGTGCATTGGCATATTTCAAAGGACCCAGTACCCCGTTGACACGACACCGTTGCTGGCCAGTGGACTTCAAATGATGTGCTTCTTGTGCCGCAGTGAATGCTTCCAATCTCAACTGCTTAGCCGCCTCCAGTTGTGTTCCTCAAGGCAGGCGAGGTCATGGAGCTATGGCATGCTATGGCTATTGGTGTTGCTGCGCCTTGGTGGAACCATGTGGCACCAAGATAAACCAAGTGGGCCAAGTATCGAGTTTCGGCCTCTGCTCGCTCTATCTCAAGCTGACGTGTGTGCGCCTGAATAGGACCCGTGGGTCCAAGATGGACGTGGGTTTGAAAATATGGTACCCTGGTACCCTCGAATCCTGTGGTTTGTCAGTCATCAGTTCCCAATCAAAATACGATAGTTGGTTTTACCCCATGTTTAGACACACCCATCATATCAAATTGGTTATATCATGTTCTATATCCCATTGCATCCCTATCATTCTTCCCAAAAATCATTTATTAATTAAGAAGTCCCGTTATACCCCAAATATAGCAGGTGAACATGACCCATTCCCCTTTTCCATCCTTTTCCCCTTTTCCCCATATGTTGATGATTGAAACCCTATATTAAATATTAAATGCCTATCATGTGGCAAACCCAACTCGTCCAACCGTCCCCCTCCTATTACGATCAATGCTTGGGCTATCAAACCATCCCCGAATGGATCCAAATGGTGCTGGTAGTTGTTGATGGCAGCTGGTTTTTTCAATGTTTACCGCATCATTTAGCTATCAGTCAACCATCATTTATCAATTACATCCACTTTGTTTTCCACATATGTTGATACTTTAATAACACGTCAGAGTCAAACCCCTACTATAAATGCTATTAAATAACTATGGTCATCACCAAAGTAATGTTTGTGGCATTTGGGTTTACCACTACCACATGAGCAGTGTTCAAAACCCTCTGTTGTCCCTTTATACTGGATGGTTAATAAGGATTCCCCTAATTGATGAGTAATGACTAGGACAATCCCCGATGTATTCGTTGGTGTATATTATCTATCAGATATCATATTGTACCATTGGTGTATTCGTGAATAAATATGAAATATATTACAACCACACATACATTGGGATTACATAAATTCCCCTATGTGTAATAGTATGTTATGATATATAATCCCCTATAATCATTGGTTGGGAGGAAATCCATGGAAATCCCCTATATAATCATCAATAAATAATCATTTATCCTTCATATCCCCATATTTCTGGACTTTATCCCCACTATAATCATAAAATCCATCATCATCAATCAGTTAATCCCCTAATTATACTCCCCTAATTCTGATAACCCCCTAATACATTATAACCCCATAGGTTTTTTTTCTCCCCCAATTATCACAATTCCTTTAAAAAAATCATTGCTTAATTAGGGGGTTATCATAATGTTAGGTTGTTATAAAAGTGTTATACCCTCTGGTAATTTAACATAGCTATTGAAAATGGCAATTTATAGTGGATTTTCCCATTAAAAATTGTGATTTTCCATAGTTATGTTAGTTTACCAGAGGGTAACTATTGCTTAAGGGACCATTCCCTGTAGCAAACCCCTGTGGCAACTTCCCTCGCAGGCCGCCTCGCTCTCCACGGCGCTTTGCCGTCGCTTCTCCGCCGTGAGCTGCGCCAGCAGGGAGGCCACCAGGATGGACTCGTCGGAAGCCGCCTCGTCGGTCATGCATCGGAAAACATGGTGGAAAATGATGGGAAAACATATGGGGGACACATGGGGGACAAATGATGGGTTTTTGGTGGAAAAATGATGGTGAAAAAAAACCTCTTATTTGCATACGTTATCAAATTCGAGAACCAGACAGATTCCAAGAAGAGCCCAGCCATAGGGTTCCAGGAATTTACTATTGGAATGCTGACCCCCCTAAAAAAAAGGAAAATTGTCAAAAATTTAGGGGGGGTTATTATTAGGCAGCCTACATTACTGCTGTGAGCCCTTCACATGAAGATTTTGATGGGAAAACACGGGAAAACTAGCTGTATGTTTGGTGATTTTCCCTTGGCAGATTGGAGTATCAGAGGAATATCATAGGATATATATAACTAACGTTTTAAATTCGTGAAAACACGCAACAAATGGATGTTATGGGAAATTGACGTGAACTTTTGGAGGTGCGTATGAGACTGTTGTGGTGCGGGATTCAAAAATATGATTGACGCTCAACATTGCGTGATTGACAATGTGTTACACGGCAAACATCGAGTGGCTTACCGGCTCTTTTGGACAAATTGGTTCCAAATTTCTGGAGCTATTTGCCTACTACTCACCTGGGTAAAATGGAAGAACTCTACATCCTGGATGACTACACCGACTACACGGCGAAGTGATGGTGTTGCAAACGTGAATAGCTTGGCTGCACGAACCTGGTCATTCACTGCAATTTATGTTGCAAAGCGAAAGTCACGTGGAGCTACCCTTGGAGATCAATGATAGCACGAAGGGAAAACGTGTGCCAAATGAAACTCCTAAAATATCCTAAAATAATATAAAGTGTTTGCCTACATCTGCATTCGCATGTTTTCTTGATCATGGACATCACAAGGGGCTGTCAAAGAAGGGACTATTGCTTTTCGATCAGTCCTCATCCTCAAGGCTACCATGCCAGTGAAGAGCCACACATTGATCACAAGTTCACTAGCCCACCTATACACAAAGTAAAAGTCGTCCAAACATGTTCAAAGACCGGTGCCAGAAACACTGAATGATGAGTTCTGAATAGTTCTGATGCGTGTCGCCACCAGTACTGTCAAACACTTCCCTCTTAATACCGAAGTGAGTCACCAATTGCTGCCTCGAGCGACAAAAAACTGCTAAACAGATGTGTGACAAACATATCAAACTTATCAAACATTGAAAAATATACGACTAGGCAGACTACACACACATACACCCCGAAAGAAAATCAAAGAAACGACAACATGAGACAACCAAGCAGAAATTCATATCGTTCATATGACCCCTGCAGGGCCCCTGCATCCCTCCGCTCCTGTTGCTCCACCTCCAACTCCTCTTGGCCTTGGCACGGAACTGCCAACAGTTTCATAGCTACCATAGCTACCATAGCTACCATAGCTACCATAGCTACCATAGCTGCCATAGCTGCCATAGCTGCCATAGCTGGGGCCCTTGCAAGTTTTCAGCTTCTGCTCCGCCTTGGCTCGGGGTCTCACCGAGAAAAGAAATGTGTAGGGGGAGCTGGCTATGGCTATCATCATTGGACAACAGTCACCCACATGGTCCAGTCCCCGCAGATCCTCAACATAATGAAGCCACCAAGGTGCAGCAAAGAGAAGGCTTCGAAGTTCCTCTTCCTCTTTTCTTTCTGCGCTTTTGGCCTGTGTTGCGCTTTTCCACTGTGTTCGTTCAAAAGAGGGCAAGAGGGAAAGACAGAAATACTAACACATTGAAAAAATATTGAAATCTATTGTTGAATACAATACGAAATTGACAAAAACACAATGGAAAATTTAAAGACATCAAAGTCTAAAGTAACGCAAAGTATCGCAAAGTCACCTAATTAAATCTGTCTTTCACAATCCCTATTCTGGAAATTTGAAACATGTTCCACACTACCAGTAGCTCCTATGACAAGAATATCAAGAATCCAAAACCTAAGCAAATCAAACCTCGGCATTGCTCGGCAAACAACAGAAAACGTGATGCCTCCTTGGCTGCAGCAGCATCCTGAGACTTCGTCGATGCCCTTCGCTCTGCCGGTGCACTTGCAGAGCCCTTCACATCTGCTACCTCCTTGGCTGCAACAGCATTCCGTGGCTTCGACGAAGTTCTTCGCTCTGCCGGTGCACTCGCAGAACCCTTCACATCTGCCGCCTCCTTGGCTGCAGCAGCATCCTGAGACTTCGTCGATGCCCTTCGCTCTGCCGGTGCGCTTGCAGAACCCTTCACATCTGCCGCCTCCTTGGCTGCAAAAGCATCTTGTGGCTTCGTCGATGCCCTTCGCTCTGCCGGTGCGCTTGCAGAACCCTTCACATCTGCTACCTCCTTGGCTGCAACAGCATCCTGTGGCTTCGTCGATGCCCTTCGGTCTGCTGGTGCACTTGCAGAGCCCTTCACATCTGCTGCCTCCTTAGCTGCAACAGCATCCTGAGACTTCGCCGATGTCCTTCGCTCTGCTGGTGCGCTTGCAGAACCCTTCACATCTGCCGCCTCCTTGGCTGCAAAAGCATCTTGTGGCTTCGTCGATGCCCTTCGCTCTGCCGGTGCGCTTGCAGAACCCTTCACATCTGCTACCTCCTTGGCTGCAACAGCATCCTGTGGCTTCGTCGATGCCCTTCGGTCTGCCGGTGCGCTTGCAGAACCCTTCACATCTGCTGCCTCCTTGGCTGCAACAGCATCCTGAGACTTCGCCGATGCCCTTCGCTCTGCTGGTGCACTTGCAGAGCCCTTCACATCTGCTGCCTCCTTAGCTGCAACAGCATCCTGAGACTTCGCCGATGTCCTTCGCTCTGCTGGTGCGCTTGCAGAACCCTTCACATCTGCTGCCTCCTTGGCTGTAACAGCATCCTGTGGCTTCGTCGATGCCCTTCGCTCTGCTGGTGCGTTTGCAGAACCCTTCAAATCTGCTACTTCCTTGGCTGCAACAGCATCCTGAGACTTCGCCGATGTCCTTCGCTCTGCTGGTGCGCTTGCAGAACCCTTCACATCTGCTACTTCCTTGGCTGCAACAGCATCCTGAGACTTTGCCGATGACCTTCGCTGTGCTGATGCACTTGCAGAACCCTTCACATCTGCTGCCTCCTTGGCTGCAACAGTGTCTTGAGACTTCAGCGATGCCTTTTTTCCGGCGGAAATCGTGGCTGCATCTACTTCCTGTTGTGTAGTTGGCAGAAGTTCCTGACTTTTTTGAGGTCCCCTTTGCTTCGCTGATTCTTCTGCTTTGGACGGAACGGAAACTGCAGGATACAGTTCCTGTCGCAAATACGTTGCCGCTTCCTCTTTTCTAGCAGTGGCGCCTTTTGCCCCGCTTGCCTCCAAATTTGAAAGATCTTCCTGTGACAAGCGTCGGAAATGCGCAGAGTTTCCAAGCATCCATCGGTTGTTCAATGATGGGTTACTCAGTTACTCCTCCATTGATCAACTATGGGGCAAAAGCATCTGCAACGTCAAAGGGCCTCCTGTCCTTTCAGTGAGGTTGGCGTCGAAGACATCTCACCTTCACGGGAGATGTTGCTAGCACTGGAAGACCGGATCAAAGATGAACAAATCCCCGAGAACATGTTGATCATGTGATGAATTATCAATTCCCATACGACTCTTCTGATCTATCCAGCAGATAATGGCAGCACTCTCGGTCTAGTCCCGCACACGTTCAGCGCTGTCGCTGCACCTTAGCTTCAAGCTGTCATCTGGCAAAATCCTGGCAGGATTCTGCTACGAGTCACGTATCCAGCTGGGACTTAGCCACCTTGGTTTAACAGTCAGAACAGTCACAACTGGGTTTTTTCGCGAGGTTACGGGTTCGTAAGGGATTTACGGGTGATTACGGGTGGATTTGACGCTAAGGTTGGATTCTTGCAAACAAATGTTGATCCAATGAAATTATGTATGAGATAGCTCCTTGAGGCCACAAATCCAAAAAAAAAGAAAGGTGCTGCAGACTCGCGCATTTTTTCTCAAAAAATGCGCCCCAGTTTTGCCACCTGGGTGACCCTGGTGTCCCTACCCGTTGTGGGTGGCTTGGGGTAGGATGGCCACTTCCCCACTCCCTTTGAACCCAACCATTTCCCGTGAAACGGGCTTATAAGATCAACCATAAGGTTTTGCAGTGGTCAACGGGCTCACGCCAGGTCCACGCACTGACGCACTCTGTACTTTTTTAAATCCAGACTTTTTGGCGAGGTTACGGGCACGAAGTCTTTTTTGCGGGTGACATTACGTCGAGGGATTCTTGTGTTTATTGGTTTTTAGGCGACTGTTTGATATTGGTTGTATTTCTGATTATTTGTTCTTGGGCTAAGCCACGGGCTGCTGGTCTACACCCAAGCTGATCTGTCTTCCATACCGAGTTTGCTGATAAGGTCCAGGTATCTGAGCTTATGGTTCAGGATTCTAGGATGCCAAAGTCTCGGAGCTTAAGCTTTAAGATTCTGCTAGGTCAATGTTTGGGGTTTAGGGCTCACATAGATTTGGAGTGTGCAGCCAGGTAAAGACTCAAACATGTTTAGTTTCAACAATTCGAAGATCTTTGGGCCTTGCGGTCCATGGATTTGTGGTGCTCAGCGCTCAAGGTTCATAGGTTTTCAGGCCTCAATCTTCATAGATGTTTGAGGGTTAAGCCTGACACGTTTTGAAGGTTTACAGCTTGTAGATTTTGCGCCTCAAAGTTTACAGACTACTCCTCCTGGGTCTACACACCAATTCTTTGGGCAACCACTGGTCTACCCCCCAACTTTGGCCAATGGCTGACCTACCCCTCAATCCATATTCTCCTCCATTATATAATGCATGCTGTCCTCTGCGGAAAAACCTGGGAAAAAGAAAACATATAAACCAGATAGTCTGAATACAGAGCCTCAATACTAAAAACACATCGAAACTACACAAGTGACACTTAGAAAAAATAACAATGCAAACACAATAAAAGAAACCCGGAGACCTGTGTTCAATTACGGGAAATTTGGGGCACCCCAAAGAATCCAAAAAATACTTGTAACAATTCAAAAAGGACAAGATAAGGAGACCAAGATGACACCATATGACACCTTTTTTTGAAAAACACTGAAAACGAATAAACTATGAACCTGAAGCCCAAAAGCTACCCAGAAATCGATGAATGACTACCAAGAACATAAAGTTTGATGCTGACTGAAACGGTCTATCAACCTTGAGGCCCAAGCATGTCTGAACCTTAGGCCCAAAAGAACATGAGCCTTAAATCCGCAAAATCTGTGAGCCTTCACCCACAAAAATATGATCGGCTAATTCGTTTGCTTTCTTAATCAGCGTTAAGCCGCAAACAAACTATGAGAATTCAAACCCCAAAGAAGGTCACCGGCAAGTCCCAACATCTATGCAAGGCCAAGAAATGTATGAATCTTAAGCTTCAGAAGTCTATGCACAGTAAGATCCAAAAAAGTGGAAACTCTACGACTAGACATTTATTTATTTATTTATATATATATGCATATGAGTTTTCCCGAAAACATAGGCCACAAAACTGGAAATTATGGGAGCATTCAACCCCAAACATGAAGAAACTTCAGGCCCAATAATCAATGAACCTTAAACCCCACAAATCTACCAGGTCCAAGAAAAGTCGCAATATCTTGAGACTAAACATCCACGACCCTTCACCCCCAAATAATACAGGCCGCAAACACCAAATCATGTTTATCGTTTGTTTCCTGTCTCAGGGCAAACCCTTGGAAGCCTTGGCCAAAAAAAAATCATGTGAGCTTTCAACCCCAGGCCCCAAACATCATAAATAATCTATCAAGCTGGACACCCAACAAGACTGAATTTTAAGCCCACAAATCTATGAGTTGCAAATCTTTAAGAATTCTCTGAAACTTTGAGACCAAACATTTATGAGCCTTTGCCTTTACCTCAAAAAAAACAATATAATATATAGGCCTGGTTCATAGTTTATTCGTGTTCAGTGCTTTTCAACAAAGGGTGTCATATGGTGTCATCTTGGTCTCCTTTTGTTTGTCCTTTTTGAATTGTTACACGTATTTTTTGGATTCTTTGGGGTGCCCCAAATTTCCCGTAATTGAAAACTAGTATTTGGACAAAGATCGGCCGGTTTTTTGAATGTCCTTTGTATGTTGATCAATTTGTTTGATGGTTTTGGACCCACATTTTTCCTCGTTAAAAGCTAGTATTGGGGCATCGATCTGTATTCAACCTTTCTAGCTTGTTCTTTTAGGTCTTTGTTTGTTTAGTTTATTCTATTTTTCCCGGGTTTTTCCACACATGACAACATGTGTTTGCAGAGGGGAATATGTATTGAGGGGTAGGTCAGCCATTGGCCAAAGTTGGGGTGAAGACCAGCCATTGCCGGAAGAATGTATGTCCCAGAGCCAAAGCCTATGAACCTTGTGGCGCGCAATCTATGAGCCAAGAATCTCAAACACACTTGAGCCTCAAACTCCAAACGTCTGTAAAGCTTCATGCCTGAAAAATTATGAACCTTGCATCCCACAAATGCATGAATGGTATTTAAGGCCCAAAAACTCTATGAAAGTTCAAAACAAATCGCTTACAAGCCCTCACCACCAACAAAATACAGGCCGCAACCCCAAAACTATCTAACCTTACATCCCAAAACACCTCTCGACCCAAGATACAGGTCAGTGAAATACAACAAGAAACAAACAACAAAAAAAGGCACACAGGTTTCTTGGAGATCGATTCTGTTTGATCTAGTTTGTCTTACATTGATTGCCTGTTTTTCTCCTTGTTTTGACTTTATTTGAATGTTTTCATGTACAATGATCTGATATGATATGATATCATGGGTAATGTGATATGATTTTTTTTTTTGCCTCTTTTTTGAGAACGGTCTTGGAAACCATATGTTTGCGTGGAGCATGAACCATTGCACGATGAAACAACTCCTGGTAATTCGAGAAGTCGCACACGAAGAGACATTTGTTTGGCCTGAAGGTTCGCAGATTTAGTTTGTTCATTCATATTTATTATTGATGGGCTTTACCCTGATAGATTTCTGGGATTCAGATTCATAGGATTTTTGGTTCTTGCATCTCAAGCTTTTTGGACCTTTACGTTCATAGATTTTTGGCCCCCATGTTCGTAGACTTTTTTGGCCCCGAGTTCTGTTGATTCTTCTTGGGCCCCAAGGTTGAATCTTTAGAGGTTTCAGCTTCACATTTTGGAGCGTTAAGGTCCCACATTTCATCTTTTTGGGGACTTCATGTTGATAGAGTTTTGGGGTTTATAACTTTTTAGTCTCATAGATTCTTTAAGTTCCATATGTGTGGGTACTTCTTATGGCTCATAAATTTGCGCGGCTTAATGTTTATAGGATTTACGGCTCATAGACGGCCCGCCACAAGGTTCATAGGCTTTACAGACCAATTATTCGGGCAAACGGCTTCCAAACATCTATAAAGATTAAGGCCCAACAAATTTGTACCTTAAACCCCACAAATCTAACAACCATAAGGCCCAAAAAAGTATGCTTTTTGAACACGTACTATATAAATGTCTTTTAACTTTGACCACCACAAACATTGCCCGTGACCCTTAAAATTATGTGAGCCTCTAAGCCCAAATTATCTCTGCAACTTACGGATTAAAAATGTATGAGCCTCACACCGCACAAGTCTGAGAACCGTAAGCCCCGAAAAATATGTGAAGCTTACGGCCCAAAATCTGCGAATTTGAAGCCCCAAAAGTCTATGATGTTGAAGCCCCAAACAAAAGCGAGACCTTAACGCTCCAAAATCTATAAGGCTTTAGATCGCCCCAAAAAATATGAACCTGAATCCCCAGAAAATTCAACCTTGAGGCCCAAGAAAGTATCAAGCTGGAGGCCAAAAGATCTATGAACATTGGATACCAAAAATCTAGGAACCCAAAGGTTCAAAACTCTTTTAAAAAAACGAATCTACAAAATCCATCTGAAACTAAAACGATGTCTGTTTTGTTGGATGTTTTTTTCAACTTTTTGCTCGAGGTTTTCAGCTGGAATTGAACGAAGATCACGTTCAAAACCAACTTCGGGGTAATTTCTTGCTTTGAGGAGGCTTTGCATGAAAAAACCTCAAGTCACTATCAGTTCCAGCTGAAGGCCTCGAGCAAAATTGCATACAATTGCATGGAATTCTTCAGATAAAATTGGATACACACTGAACACCAAGAAAAACACTAGTACTTGGTAGGCAACCATTCCAACATATTAACTTGAAAATAGGTTTCAATCGCTGAATTTTCAATTATTTTGTCAAAATCATTAAAGTCACCAGTGAACACTTGAACATACTGTTCAATCCTTAAATTGTGAGTAGTTCTTTGAAATCATTAAAGTCACCAGTGAAAACTTGAAAATACTGTTCAATCCTTAAATTGTGAGTAGTTCTTTGAAATCATTAAAGCCACCACTGAAAACTTGAAAATACTTTTCAATCCTTGAATTGTGAATATTTTTCATCAATAAAGTCACCAGTGAAAACTTGAAAATAGGTTTCAATCGCTGAATTTTCAATTATTTTGTTAACATCATTAAAGTCACCAGTGAACACTTGAAAATACTCTTCAATCCTTTGAAGTCGCCAGTGAAAACCTAGAAATCCGTTTGAAATCTTTGAATTGTCCGTGATTTCTTTTGAAATCCTTAAAGTCACCAGTGAAAACTTGAAAATACGTTTCAATCCTTGAATTGTGAGTATTTTT